TAATTAGCCTTTCATCCAACAATTCCTTATATCTCTAACAAAACATTCTTCTCCATTAATTCATTCTCCTTCACTACAAGTTTAGCAGTTGATACTTGGATTATAACTTTCTCTTACCCTAGCTACTACTAAATGATGATCAGGCATATTACATATTTTTTTCTAAATAATACACATACAAAGTACTACATCTAAATAATCTAAAGACAGTCTAGAAGACTCGTCTTGTGCACATAACCCTGGCTTCTTCTCATTTACCTCTCTGATACTCTACTTTTTTCTTTATTCTCAATTTAGCAATAATGTCTAGAATAACAGTTATTATTTAACTTAAATGTAAATTCTCTGAACGTTCAAAGAACTCCTGAAAACTCTTCTATTCTTCAGTTTTTCGTTAACACCCTTTTTTTTTATTTGGTTTATTGCCTATCAACTACACAAGAGTCTTTAATAAAGTCTGCGAGTAATGTCTACAACACCATTCAAGAATACTTTTATTCTTAAAAGATGTTTGAAGGTTAACTTTCAATGTATGTAAACACTGAGACATGTGTACCTCTCTTTTATATGTAAACTTGGTAATGTGTACTGCATCCAGGCTCATTTATTGTCTCTGTTACAACTACTACGGCTACTATTACTACTACTACTACTACTACTTGAACCATTGCCACTAGTTCTACTACTATTACTGCTACTGATACTATTACTTCTACTACTAATTATAATCGTATTAGAATACAAATCAGACATATCTCTGTAAAAGAAAGACGTGTCTGAAATATTTTTATTTTTTAAAAATACAATTTATAAAACTTTAGTGACAAGGTAACATTTACTTAAATCATCAATAATCACACAGGCCTTGGTTTCCTGCGTGTTTCTGTGCGCGTGCGCAGTGAGAGCGGTTCCTCAGACTTACGGAATATTGGAGGTCCAAGAGCCACTGCCCAACACAGAAACAGGACCCTACGCGAACGTCGTGGATGCTGTTATCGAGATTCTCCCAGATATCGCTGACGTATTTGAAAAGATAACAAGATCTCGTGACCCTTCATCGGATCCTGCAGACTTTAAAGTTATCCAGGATATTATCTTATCTTTCCTGCCCATAACTGAGAAGATAATGCGGGCGGCAGCTAAAGCCGATGGCAGGGAGGTCAAGCCCGAGGAACTGGAGAGGCTTGCTCGAGTCTCAAAGGTCTTGCCAGATTACTTTCGACTCATCGAGGATATAACGACGAAAGATTTGGCAGGAATATCAGACCTCGCTGCTAAAGATTCTGGCATATCTACTGCTTCTTCATCTGCACACAGGTGAGCAGCTGCTGCTCTCAAAACTGGCACCCAAGAAACACCAGCTTTACTGATTTAGATATAGACACATTTGCAACATCTGGGTATCTTTATTTGTAGACGTTTCTCCATCCAGTGGCTTTATCAATACAATATAAGAACATAATTTGAAGAATGTAGAGCTATATACAGAAGATAAGGCAATTAGTCCCTCAGCCTTGGAGTCAGTGTGGAGCACCAACTCCACGGCTGAGGGACTGATTACCTCATCTTTTGAATAGTTCCACATTCATCACATTAGGTCCTTGTATTGTTTTGATAAAGTCACTGGATGGAGAATTGTCTATATATAAAAACACCCAGATGTTGCACCGGCGTCTAATTTTTCATAATGTTGGTGTTATATACCTTTCATGTACAACCAGCTTCCTTAAACCGTGTTTCTGCCTCCGGAAGTACAGTTACCACTCCAGACACTAATATAAGCGAGAGTGTTTGAGTGTGGGTACAAACGAGCACCTACACATTGATAAATAATTTAAGCTAAATCGATTATTTTTTTTACCTTAAACTCATTGTGTTTTGATAAGAATTTTGCTAGGATCGTGTGTTTTTCGCTTTAATATTATGGGACTAAAAATGTTCGAAATTTAAGTTACTGTTTATTTGGAATTTAAAATCAGTGATACATACGTATTGTAATAAATATGTAAAACACTTAAGAAAACTATGCCAAACAAAAATTATCCAAATAATTTTTCCGAAATCAATATGAACATCAACAAGCAATAAAAATGGAACATTTTTAGATGTGAAGTCAGGTTTAGCTCACATCCTTCTGTTGCAACTTGCACACATCCTTCTGTTGCAACTTGCACACATCCTTCTGTTGCAACTTGCACACATCCTTCTGTTGCAACTTGCACACATCCTTATGTTGCAACTTGCTCACATCCTTCGGTTGCAACTTGCTCACATCCTTCTGTTGCAACTTGCACACATCCTTCTGTTGCAACTTGCACACATCCTTCTGTTGCAACTTGCTCACATCCTTCTGTTGCAACTTGCACACATCCTTCTGTTGCAACTTGCACACATCCTTCTGTTGCAACTTGCACAGTTCTCAAACTCTGTACATATGTAATGAAGACGGAACCTCTTTCCTTGTTAACTACCTCGTGTATTGTCTAATACAAAATGTACATGCATATTCTCGGAATTACATTGGCGTGGAAAGGCATGAAACCGATGTTTTTGTCGTTTAGAGATGTGATGTGAGAATCAAACAGTTGAAGATAATAATTTGCTGTTAGTGAGAACCCGCTTCTTACTGAATCAGTTAAAATACAGGATCACATTGACTGATTAAGATGAAAATTTGTATGTAAAAGAAGTGTCATTGACGTGTGTTCTATAATATGAGTGTAAAATTTCGCCTGCTGGACGCACATCATGGTGTCTGCAGTTGACTCACGAAATCTTAATGACATGATTGAAAACGAACCATGGTTCGGGGGGAATCGAACTCCAGTGGCTAAAGCGCCGGTCTGAAGTTTTACGGCTCACTAGTCATGAGTTAAATCCCCACCCGTACCGTGGTTTTTCTGCAGTTGTATGTCAAGGTAAAGATATATAGCAGAACAGGCCTTCACTGGCATACTCTCTCTTTCAATTCTTGATTGTGAAATGCTCCTTAGAACGAAGAGTGTAGCAGTTTATAAAGGCTTGATCTACTAAATGTGTCTTCACGCCAGTAGACGTTAGACAAAACAGTATTTCTGTTGTGACCCAACCCAGTTGTTCATTTGTTATCTAAATATTTTATTATGAATGCCGATATTTTGAAATATTTTTTGTGTGTATGGCTAAATTGTTGAGAGCCTAGAGGCTCGGGAAAAGAGCCTTATAGATTCCCTTCATAAAATAAATAAAATTTTACAATAATTATATTCGAATTTTCATTGAGTTCTTTGGGGCGTGGTTAAAACCTAGTGATTCAAAAGAATAAATAAATTCCAATTTGTGTAAACAATACTTGACTGAGACTTATGTACGTCAGACCAAACAATGTAAGCACTCAGCTGCTGAGCTTATAAGAACATAAGAACATAAGAACGAAGGAACACTGCAGAAGGCCTACTGGCCCATGCGAGGCAGGTCCAAGTCTCCTACCGGCTTAAGCCAATGCACCCAACCTAGTCAGGTTAGGTCACATTGACTTAAGGGAGGAACACGGCAACCGACCTGGTAGCACAAGCTATCAGGTCCAACTCACACCCACCCACATCCACTCATGTATTTATCCAACCCATTTTTAAAGCTACACAACGTTCTGGCCTCTATAACTGTACTCGGGAGTTTGTTTCACTCATCCACAACTCTATTACCAAACCAGTACTTTCCTATATCCTTTCTGAATCTGAATTTTTCCAACTTAAAACCATTGCTGCGAGTCCTGTCTAGGCTAGATATTTTCAGCACACTATTTACATCCCCTTTATTTATTCCTGTCTTCCATTTATACACCTCAATCATATCCCCCCTAATTCTACGTCTTTCTAGAGAGTGCAGATTCAGGGCCCTATAATGAAATGATTCTATAACCAGCACAACTGTGGCTTAGTCATATAAACTGTGACCTCCTACTATCTCATTTCACAACCTCGTAAGTTGTAATGAGCGATTGTCAGTTAAATAAACAGCACTGGGTGGAGACTCGAACGTTGTATATAACATATAAGAGACCCAACGCTGTTAGAACTCAGCCACGGAGCTTACATTAGCAAGATTTTACAGCTAGTACAACTGTGACTTGATTGCGTCAACTGCAATAAATGTGACTTTACTGTCTCATTCCAGAGCTCCAAAAGTTGATGCAACAAGGTTACAGTTCTTTTTTTTTATATCTTATTTAAAATACAATACATAGCTTAACATAAAACCCCTTAAACAAGGGTTGATATACATTTAATATAAATACATTATGAATCACAATCCCTCAGGACGTACAATAGCAAAATAACAAACACAATATTAACAGACACAAAGAGGTTACACAAATACACTAGAAAATATCGCTTATGACAGAACATAACATTAAGAAAGATGGGTAATCTTAATCCTATTTACACAAGAACAACAACAAGGCCATAACATGTAGGTGACCCCTGTAACAGGTTCAATAATATAATTAAACCCAAACAAGGTTACAGTTGTGATGGTTGGGAAATCATCATAACATGGGCTCCGTTGCTAATTGGTTATAGCGTCGGGCCCTGTTATGTACAAATACCAAGGGTCAAGTCACCATCCAGTATTCGGTTTATTCACTGACTCTCGTACATCATTATAAATCTTGGTTCTATGGACTTACTGGACCGGAGGGAAATGGAAACAGATGCTCCAGAAAAACATTTGGGGCTGTGGGGTGATTCAGTAGAGTCACAGATGTGCCGATGATACAACCAAGTTATTGTTATGTTGGCATTAAAATCATTCTAACATAAGCTCCTTAGCTGAGTGATTACAGGGTATACAAGGACCACAGTTCGATTCACCTCCCAGTATGCTGTTCATTGATATCTATAGACACAAACACATACACACACACACAAAATCGGAAGGTTAGAAGATGTGTAGATCAAGTGTTGGCATTTAAGTAAGTGAACTAGATGTAAATAGAGGTAAGGAACTGGCTGTCTCATATTTGGATTAAAAAATACATGTTATAGGGCAGATAGTGGAACAATGTAGCAGATGGTGGAAATGTAAAGGATAGGTAGAAGGTTACTAAAAGCGGTAATGAGTGTGTGGATAATGAGGCTCACGTTACAGTACGTAGGGAGGGGAGGATATTTCTCAGTAAATGTCAGCCTCAGACAGGGATAGTTGATGTTACGGTTGTTGTTGAAGAAATTAATAGATGGGGTTGTAAAGCAATTTGATGCTTGAGAGTAGGACGATGCGAGAATAAATGATGGTAGATGGGATGAAAGTGATGATGGTAACAAAAAAGTTTTGGCAAATAAAAGGTTGGATATCGTATCAAAGGGTGGAAGTATAAGAACATTATTGTATTCAGATTTTTGGAACTTGATTTGTCAGCAGATGGGTCATTGGAAGACGAACGGTCATTGAAGCCTCACCACAGAATGGAAGAAAGGGATCCTTAGATACTCAGGCCCAATGGCAGCCAGAAGTGCCCAGATGGAGTCACTATAGTCCTCTGGAAAGACGATAAGAAAATTACATGGGTCTACACCTGTGCATCTACAATGGTTGAAACTTACCCACGATGCTTCAAAGGTGAAGGGGGTTTCTGGGAGACCAAAAATTTCAACAAATAGTTGGGATTAGGACCATGCTATATGAAGTGCTATCAAAAAGTTCCTGGGCTGCTGCAAAAATGAAAAAAAATTGCTTTCCTAATCATCTAGTTGAAGTTGTCTCCCTGGACGAGCTCTTCGTGGGAGGTTATACACTGATTCCAGAGCCTCTGCCACATCTCAAAACATTTCTGAAGCTAATTTTTCTTATCCATGTCCCTTACCGCCTATGATTCTCCTAGAATCTTCTCCGCATCGTTAAAATACCGCCACTTGCATGGCCTTTTTCACTTTTGGAAAAAGAAAGAAGTCACAGGGGGCTAGATCATGTGAGTATGGATGTTGGGACGACCCGTATTTTTTTAGCCAGAAAGCAATTATTTTTCTGGTCATCAGTCAGCAAACGGGGCACAAATTTCGTGCCCACTCGCTTCACGTTAAAATTTTATGTCAAAATGGTTTGACATAATGAATAAGAAGTTCCCACAGCACATGCAATGTCCATAATATGACGACGATCTTCCTGAATAGCCTTCCTCACATTCTAAATGTTGGCCTCTATTTTTTTTACGTTGAAGGACAACAAGAGCATTTATCATTCTAAACTGACGTTCGTCCTGCTTTTAGTAGAGAAAACCGTTCAAAACAGTGTGTCATACCCTCGTATCATCGTTAAATGCTTGCTCAAGCAGTTCATGAGTTTCATTAGCTGTTTCACTGAGCTTCAAACACAATTTAACACACACACACACAAACACTGATCATTATTTTGTAGACTTTATTCTGGTATACACAAAATAGCAAGAACGTCCTGACAGCCCGTTTAGCCTCAACATAATGACTGACCACACCGAAACTCGCCAAAGTAATTTACAAAGGAGTGTAGTGTGCAGTGTGGCTGCTAACGCAATCAGCTCACACACTAAGGTCCAAGGTTCGATTCCCGGTGCGGATGGAAACATTAAGATGTGTTTCATTAAAACACCTGCTGTCCATGTTACCTATCAGGAAAATAGGTACCTGGGTGTTAGTCGACCGGTGTTTACCTGGAGTTTACCTAGAGAGAGTTCCGGGGGTCAACGCCCCCGCGGCCCGGTCTGTGACCAGGTCACACTCTGGGACAAAATTGACCTAATTTGCCCAAAATGCTGTACATAACAAAGGGCTTTCTGTATAGTAGTATGTCACTGATGTCAGCTATGGTCTGTATACCTTGTACATGTACTTGTAGAAATAATGTGTTATTATTCTTATTATTATTGTTATTATTATTATTATTATTATTATTATTATTATTATTATTATTATTATTATTAAAAATAAAGAACAAGACCTCTTTGATACTACTTCAGTGGTAATCTGAGATTCTGAAAGACTTACATAACAAATTCTTCAGGGAAACTAAAAATTCCCAAAACAACAAAATTTATTTTCTAGAAAACCTGTGCAGCGATCTGGAGAGGAAATGCTTGCAGAATCTTGGGCTTGTGACCCGCCTCTGAGAAGCTTTGTAAAGTGTTTGATGTATAGGTTTTGTGATATAATGCATCCAGTTTTAATTCCAAATGTATTTGATAATAAAATTATATATATATATATATATATATATATATATATATATATATATATATATATATATATATATATATATATATATATATATATATATATATGTCGTGCCGAATATGTAAAACTGGTCAATTAGCAAGAACTCATTTAAAATTAAGTCCTTTCTAAAAATTTTTCTTATATGTTTAAAGATATATTTTTTCATTAATGTTAATGTAAAAATGTTAAAATAAAAATTCTTTTCAACCGTTAGTTTACTATGTAAAACCTGGTTCAATACAGGTACTAAACATAATTATTACCGTGTAATACCTTATTCCCTACATAAGCTATATTTTTTGCCCCTCACATTTGAAAATTGTTTCTCGGTACCCTTCGAAGACTTGTTGTTAAACTAACAGCAATATGTCTGCAGTATCAAGGTTCGGTAAGATTTGTCAGGAAACACGACAAGTGCTTGCTGACGCTGGTCTCAGTCATATTTTTTTTTTTTTTTTTTTTTTACACTGGGTTTGACAAGGTTAAGGATCCCTAGCTTTGAGGAAATGGTATGGTGATACCGACAAGATGTGGAAAAAGACACTTATGCTACTATATATTTGCGTTTTCTTAGTTTTCTCTGTATTAGGACTGAAGAAGTCACTCGTGGCGAAACGTTTCCTTTAATAATATCCTGAACTGTACATAAGTGTCTTTTTCCACATCCCTAGCTTTATTGACAAGCTATTTACAGGTTAAGGATTCCTAACTTTATTGACAAGCTATTTACAGGTTAAGGATCCCTAGCTTTATTGACAAGCTATTTACAGGTTAAGGATTCCTAACTTTATTGACAAGCTATTTACAGGTTAAGGATCCCTAGCTTTATTGACAAGCTATTTACAGGTTAAGGATTCCTAACTTTATTGACAAGCTAAGAGCTGTTACCTACATCAGCTCATTTGAAAGCATTTTTATTGTTATGAGACATACAAGTAGGGAACAGGATGAAGTTGGAGCCATCTGTGGGCCAGCTTTTTCATCTGATCAACTGACTTTATCTCGTTGCTGTACGAATGTGTTCCATACTCGAGTCATCCTGGGTATATATGATCTCAGATGGAGTGATGTTCTGGAGAAGGGTACAGCCAGAGTGAAGTTGCTGATTTCTGCCCGTCTTGTGGGATAAAAGCTTGTTTCACGCTGTCCTCGAAGTGGATCCAAGTGTGGTACTTTGACAATATTGGCCTTGTACATAACAGTAAGGCCACCCACATCCCTCCTATGTTGAAGGCTCTGCTGAAATGACAGATCTATCCAGGATGGGTCCAGGCGAGAGATGAGACGTCTTGCTCTGTTCTCCACTCTGTCAAGCAGTCGCAGATGAAAGGGGGGGGGGGGCAGGCAAACCAAGAAAGTGGAGCATACTCAAGGTGTGAGCGTACTTGTGCCTCGTACAGAATCTTGCAACCCCTACTGTCAAGCAGATGCGAGATACGGCAAAGTGCTGTAAGCTTCCTGGCTGCCTATATGCCACAGATTTAGATGTCCTTAGATTTATCAGCTGCTTCATAATGCTTTGTTCCCATAAAAATTTAAATTATGACGAAAAGACAGAAGTAATAAGCAATATAGAATTAATAAAAATTCTCATGACTAATATTATCGTAGTAAACTTATCCTAATTTAGAAATGTTGGTAGAATTACCGACAATATGTTAAATAAAAGGACACATGTGCAACTAATGCGACATTTTTATTTTTGCAACGTTTCGCTGCTCAGGGGCTTTGCCAAGCATTAGTTACATAACGGCTTGACAAAGCACCTGGAGAGGGAAGGGTTTCCACATTAGTTGCACATGTGTCCTTTTATCTATCTTATCCTAATGTACTTATGGCTTCATTGTGTAAATAAAAGTAATTCAGCAAATCGGCAGCCTTAATAAGACAGTTAGTTACCATTTTGTCCTAGGCACATGTCGATTAGACAGTGTCATACAATAAGCGTTTCCATGTGTATTATGGTACAGTTACCGTTGTCGTACGCTACAACAGGACTTCAGGGGGTAACAGCACTGTCTTGAATTCAAGGTTATTATAAACTCGTCCACTCTCACTTAATTTCTGTACCCTGTAATGACTTCCCTGTTTACATAGTTTTATATTCTTCTGTGATACATACTGAACTTGGGCACACGTAGCCTTTTAAGTATCTGCTAACTGCAACTTTGTGGTCAAAAGCGTGAAGATATTTCAGGATTTATATAATCCTACGAATTTGTCCCTGGAATAATCTATATAAGCTGGTAACTGGCCAGCACCACCACACTCTGTCTAGCTAGATCATACGCAGCAGTCATGGCCCTCCAAGTAAGTCCATATTCCCTACATTACCTTGAATGTAGCAGAAAATGAGAACGTGACTTTGTTCTTATGGTTTGACGTAATTTGCTAAACGTTAAGTTAAGAGTAAGCTGGTGCGTATTTTCATTATCGCAGATTTAAGAGTGAAGTGGCTGGGGTCAGCATGTAGAGAGAGATGAGTAATGAACAGTTTCTTACCTGAGCTCCTTGAGTGATGTGTTTATCATGAAGATTGTGACTGATGTAGTGAAACAACTATTGTGAGATCCAGTGCTACTTCTGCGACCACTGCGAGTGATACTACCATTAATGATGCTATTACAACCGCCACTAATATTGATACGATTGCAGCGACTTATGCAAATATAACTTCTGCTAGTATTATTAATGTATCTAATATTACAGCTTACCCTCACATATTACTAACTACTACTGCTGCTACTATTACTTTTGCAGTTGATATTGTTAACTATCTTACTAGTATTCCTGCTAATATTACGCCTATTACTGTTTCTACATTTGAAATAGTTGTTTCTAATATTACTATCAACATTACTCCAGCTGCTGTAGAAGTAACACTGCTGCTGCTACAATTATTCCTTATACTAAGGCACTACCGCCATTATAATTGTTGTAGTTGTAACTGTTTAAATTTCGTTACTACTTCTATTACCAATTACGTGAATTGTTGCTACTAGTACTACTAACACTCCTCTTCCTACTACTACTATTACTATTATTCCTGTTATTATTGATAATAATGCTTCTATTAATGCTAATATTTCTGTTAATACTGCCACCTTTTCATTTTCAATAATTGTAACTGCCACAACTACAACTATTACTACTGCTACTACTACTACTACCACCACTACTACTACTACTACTACTACTACTACTGCTATTATTACTACTACTAATATAATTTGTAAGGGTATTTGCTGTGGGGAAGCTTTGAGAACTTATGTCTGTACTTATTGTGACCAGATTTGTGGCAGAGTTGTATGAACCAGTTATGAGGCTGAGATTCTACTCTGCTGTGTACCAGACATTTACCACGCCTTCCAACGTTGACTTTCGGGACCTTGTTTACACTCCACGACCTGAACCATTAATAACTACAGTGGAGCAAGACACTGGTAAAATAAACACAGATGCAGTAAAATGCGATTCTTTACTGACTAGGTTACGTCCACGCCATGGGCTTTAAGTTCGTTACTTGATAAAACGCACTATGTGGGCTAAACGTAGGAAATAAACGGCATTTGTGTTTATTTTCTCCATCGTGTATTTATCTTATACCATTTATCTCTGTGGAAACAAGGCACTGCTAAGCTGCACCAGCATGGAGAGTGATGGGGGTGAGCAAGGACCAGTGTGTGTATGTGACAGTGGCCTGGCGGGTGATCACCTTACCCACAGGGGCCAGGAGCTATGACTCAAACCCTGCGAAATCAGTGACTTGAGGACTGAGTTTAAGGTGTCTCAAACGTGAGCAAAAAATCACGGTGCCCCTCGCAAGTCTTCACTTATCTTGTGTGTTTTCCTAGGCTGACCGGAGGTAGGGAGGAAAGTGGGTGGGAGATGGGGAGAACGAGGGGGAGAGAATCGTGGACAAGTAGAAAGAGCTGCGAAAGACGCTTTGTCGAGCACATCACGTTATTATGTAATAGGTTACACGCTTATCTGTCGTGCATCGTGACTCTACGAACACATGCTAATACTCACACTAACACGTAACGTCTCTTCCTATGATATGTAATTGCCACCTCCACTCTTTCCCTGGTTTGCGGTCATCCTCGGAAAACACGTGAGTGAAGTGAAACGACGATTAGCGAAGGGTGTCATTAATGGTAGAAATGCTAATTTTGGGTTATGTCTGAATTACAATAAATCTTCCCCTCATGCCGCTTACCTGGGGTAAGTAAGCACATAGCTCCGTTCTGTGCTCACAGAAATTGAGTTTTTACATTGGACAATGTACAAAAAGTGATCACCCACCACGCCACCTGACTTTTGCCTTCACACCCACCTCCACCCTTTCCCAGACCTACTGGTGCCATTTAGCAAAGCCTTGCTTCACTCATGCCAGTACGGGCTATTCAAGCATCAGTAGCTGGGTAGTTAAGCAAGGGGCTCATTTATATTTATCAACTTGTCGGTTCTGCGAGCTATTTGTCTTCATATCCACGTATATTTAAATTTTAAACAGACGACATTATTTTAGGTGTATCGTTCAAGATAGAGAGTTATTAACTGGAACAACGTCATATGGAAGGGCTTCATAATATATTTTTCGTCTTTAATTCGAAACAACAATTTACTGATTAATGAGAATTACATCAAGTATCGTTTTTACAGTAATTATCTGTGACAAGTGGCCTCCCACAGGGATCAGTTTTATGCCTATTGTTGTTCAAAACATATATTAATGACCTTGACGAGGGAGTAACTAGTGATATCTGCAAATTCTCTAATGACACGAAAACAGGCAGGATAATTGATTCAAAGGAAAATGTTACTGAACTAAAGGAGGATTTAGACAGATTCATGTCTTGGTCAGAAAAGTGGCAGATGCAGTTCAGTGCAGATAAATGCCTTGTCCTGGGAATATATATAACTTAAATAATGTAGAACTTGGCCATAGAGAATGCGAAAAGGACTTGGGAGTTATTGTAAACAGCAACCCGAAACCAAGACCGCAATACCTAAACATACATAATCAGGCAAGCAGATTATTGGGATTTGCATCAAGAAGTATATGAAACAGGAGTCCAGGGGTTATACTATAATTCTACACATCATTAGTAAGGCCTCCTTAGATTATGCAGCTCAGCTCTAGTCCCCATTGTACAGAATGAATATAAATTCGTTAGAAAACACTCATCGAAGAATGACAAAATTAATCCATTGCATAAGGAATCTTCCATACAACAAAGATTGAAATCTCTTATCCTACATTCTCTTAACTCACGAAATCGTAATGACACGAGTGCAAACAAACCATACCACGGGAGGGGATTGAACCCGCGATCAGAGTCATAAAACTGTAGACCGACTCGTTAGCCACTGGGCCAGCTGGCTGCCATAATATTCATTTAACTAGGTATATTTATACACCATAGGAAGGTTAGCATACACACCACTGTGACCACAAATTTAAGTTTTTGCAGACAAATCTCCCATTCGTTAATAAAACAGTTTAAAGCCGTGAACAACGATAAAGAATATGAAATTGCTTATTTGCATTTCAGTAAGGCTTTCCTAGAGTACCTCATAAACAACTGTTAAGAAAAGTGGCAGCTCATGGTATAGGAGGTAAGTATACAAATAACCCGCACATAGAAGAGAGGAGCTTACGACGACGTTTCGATCCAACTTGGACCATTTACAAAGTCAGGAGGTAAGATTCTTATATAAATCGAAGCATGGCTGAGCAATAGCAGAGTTTGTATTTATGTTGTATTCAAGTGCTGGCATACTGGTGTTCAGAAATGAATGGGTGGAGGTCTCTTGAAGTTTCTCCCACGTATAATTGGTCACAATATCATTAATTCGCAGGGCGATTAAGTACATGTCACTACACTCCTCACCAAGTCCGCTCTCTCCCAGGTTGTTAGCAACATTGTCATGGCGCTGCGTGTGCACATTCACTCACTTCGTGGTACCATTTTGGGCACGACGAGAAAGACTCTGGCAGCACTCCTGACGACCACTCTAACAGTGAAACTGCGCAACCTCCTCAGTACTAAAGACTCATCGCCGTCTGCTTTAACGATGACGAAGTCGACAAGGTCATCACTACTTCAGCTATAAATGTTCTCATGGACCGTGACTTCGAAGTGGCTTCGTACCCTGCAATGAGGGCCAACACAACGGCAGACCAGAGGCCTAGCTTCTCCCTACGAGCCCCGTGAGGGCGGGGACTGTGGCTAGGCCTGGGGACAATTGGTCCCAAAGATGAGGGGGTACTTGTACCTCCTCCCATGGGAGACTTAGGTCTCGAGATACTCCCCAGATAGGGAGCCAAGGCCGGGTCACCACTACTTGGAAAAGACCCGGGCCGGGAGAGTACCGGCGAATAAGAAAAACAAAACAAAACAATGGTTTTCATATAAAAATCTTGATCGTCACGTCACTAACCAATCAACAGGCGACTTGAAATACTCATTTAAGTTCAAAGTGAGTGAGCCAACGACGACTCAGTTTTCAAACTTTTTTTTTTACTTATTTTCTTCTTTAATATCTAAAAAATCTTAAAAGGATTTTTTTTTCTTTTCAACGAACTGGAATCTGCATACCTTCCATGAGCATACATTCCAACGCTGTTCAGATATGGTTTTCGCAAGTTATTTCCAATGAAATCCGATAATTAAATTATCACAATTTGTTAAATAAATTTGAAAAATTGGTACCTACATAGTATGAATTCAGAGCAAACATTTTTCTAATTATGATACTCTGGCGTTTAGAATTTGACGTCATTCATAGTAGGTCTTTTGCGGTTTTTGAAACTTGTTTAATAAAAGTGCAAAATTAAAACTTAAACCAAATTAAAACTTACACCAATGCGAACCTTTCGTTATACGAAACCTCTTGAAGGAAAGTTCGAAGTAATTTGGAATCCACGATTTCAAGTTTATATATAAACTTTGAAAAACTGGTAAATTTGGATTGACAAAGCCTATAAGATTGCATTCTATTTGTTGAATGCATCAGTCATTAATGATTGAAATCCTCCAAGAGGCAAGCTCTAGTAGCAGTACACTAACAATGAGAATTTGTTTCCGAACGGATGAGACATTTAAGGTAAAAATCAGCACAGGCAACCACCTCAAGGTTCACATATAATCCGCACATAGAAGAGAGGAGCTTACGACAGTCCAAGTCGGACCGAAACGTCGTCGTAAGCTCTTCTCTTCTATGTGCGGATTACTTGTGCATCGTTCCAGTCACGGTATTGTGCCTTTTTTTGTTACCTCAAGGTACCCTTCCGGGGATGCCTAATTAAAACTGGAAACTGGACGACGTATTGGTTCGTTCTGAACTATTGTTAAGTTACTGCTCGATAATGGCTCAAGGATAGAAGAAACATCGGTTAGTTTATATTTCCAGGTTTTTAGTTGTGAATTCTTCTAGGTACTAAACTGTGACTTTTGTCTTTACAGGCGTTGTTCTGTGCGTTTCTGTGTTCGTGCGCAGTAAGAGCGGTTCCACAGACCTACGGGATTTTGGAGGTGGTGGAACCTCAGCCAAGCACGGAGCAGCTGGGGCCCTTCCAGAACATCGTCAGCTCTGCCATCGACTTTCTTCCAGACATCACAAACATATTTCAGATGATAACAAGAGTACGTGATCCTTCCTCGAAGCCTGCTGACTTGAAAGCCGTCGAGGAAATCATCTTGTCCTTTCTGCCCATCACGGAGAAGATGATGACCGCTGCAGCTAAAGCAGAAGGCAGGGAGGTAAAGCCTGAGGATCTGGAGAGGCTGGCTCGTGTCTCAAAGATCTTGCCAAGTTACTTCCAACTCATAGAGGACATAACAAAAAGAGATTTCAGTGGAATACCAGATCATGCTGGCTCAGGATCTGGTTCTTCTGCTGATGCTGTTCGTGCTGCTGCTGGTGATGCTGGAGCTGCTACTGCTGGTGCTGCTACTGCTAGTGACTCTGTCTCTGCGTTGCTACCTGAAGAACAATCTCCCGTAGCAATCACAGGCACTTAAGCAGTTCTAGACTTCAGAAAGTCCTTCGCGAATAAGCCTGAAACACCTTTTAGACAACAGTTTAGAAGAAAATGAGTGTATGGACTCACACCACACGCAGACACACACACACACACACACACACACACACACGCACAATAGTTTGGGAAGCGATGTAGTGGAGGCAGGATCCATACATAGCTTTAAGCAGAGGTATGATAAAGCTCACGATTCAGGGAGAGTGACCTAGTAGCGACCAGTGAAGAGGCGGGGGCCAGGAGCTTGGACTCGACCCCTTCAACCTCAATTAGGTGAGTACACACACACAGGAGCTAAGACTCGACCCCTGCAACCACAAATATGTGAGTACACACATACACACAAGTGATGTAGTGGAGGCAGGAACTATCCATAGTTTCAAGAAGAGGTATGATAAAGCTCATAGAGCAGGGAGAGGGAGGACCCAGTAGCGGTCAGTGACGAGGCGGTGCCAGGAGCTGAGTCTCGACCCCTAACTTCCATTTGACTTATCTGAGTCTTCATCTTCCAATTATGACCCCATGTTTCTGTGTCCCATCTCTGGAACATCCTGTCTCTGTCCACCTTGTCTATTCCACGCAGTATTTTGTATGTTGTTATCGTGTCTCCCCTAACCCTCCTGTCCTCCAGTGTTGTAAGGCCCATTTCCCTTAACCTTTCTTCGCAGGACATTCCTCTTAGCTCTGGAACTAGCCTTGTCGCAAACCTTTCCACTTTGTCTAATTTCTTGACGTTCTTGATCAAGTGTGGGTTCCAAACGGTGTACACTGTCTTGAACGATTCCTTACTAAGGTATCGGAACGCTATTCTCAGGTTCGCCAGGCGCCTATATGCTGGAGCAGTTATCTGGTTGATGTATGCTTCCGGAGACATGCTCGGTGTTATACTCACCCCACGATCTTTCTCCTTGAGCGAGGTTTGCAGTCTTTGGTCACCTAGCCTATACTCCGTCTGCGGTCTTCTTTGCCCTTCCCCGATCTTCATGACTTTACATTTGGCGAGGTTAAATTCGAGAAGCCAGTTGCTGAACCACGTGTTCAGCCTGTCCAGGTCTCTTTGAAGTCCTACATGTGTGTGTGTGTGTGTGTGTGTGTGTGTGTGTGTGTGTGTGTGTGTGTGTGTGTGTGTATGTGTACTCACCTATTTGTACTCACCTATTTGTGGTTGCAGGGGTCGAGTCATAGCTCCTGGCCCCGCCTCTTCACTGACTGCTACTAGGTCTTTGCTCCGTGAGCTTTGTCAAGCCTCGTCTTAAAACTATGTATGGTTCCTGCCTCCACTACGTCACTTTGTAGGCTATTCCACTGTCTGACAACTCTATAACTGAAGAAATACTTCCTAACATCCCTTTGACTCATCTGAGTCTTCAACTTCCAATTGTGACCCCTTGTTTCTGTGTCCCATCTCTGGAACCTCCTGTCTTTGTCCACCTTGTCAATTCCTCGTAATATTTTATATGTCGCTATCATGTCTCCATTGGCCCTTCTGCCCTCCATAGTCGTCAGACCGATTTCCCTTAACCTTTCTTCACAGGACAATCTCCTTAGCTGTGGGACTAGCCTTGTTGCAAACCTTTGCACTTTCTTTAATTTCTTGACGTGCTTGACCAGGTGTGGGCTCCAGACTGGTGCTGCATACTCCAACATGTGCCTGACGTATAAGGCATACAGAGTCTTGAATGATCGTCTTTGTCAGGAGGCAGATGTAGTGAACTTACGTCCCTTCACCCACTTTGCAGATGGAATGTGTGGGAAACTCACAACCCCACATGTCTCACTACCTGTGAGGAAGATCACTCCCCTGTACATACCTTATCATTAACAAAAGTGTACAGGACACATGCCCAAACATCGACCTTGTCAACAAGCAGCTGTGAACATCTCTCATCTGGATACATGCCTTTCCAGGAGTCAGGTGTATGAATCATACTATTGGGTTCTACGACATAATTTTGAAGGGGCTGAATTTTTGTAATAAAGCTGATCGGTTATGACTGGAAAACTAATAATAAGTATAAAGGAAGCTTTCAACTCATGTGACACCCAAAATAAAAAGATTTGGAATGCTGTACAGCCTAAAATTTCCATTTCGGATTGAGAAAACTTGTGACAAAGTTTGGTTTTACTGGTATATCATAAGACTGATTTGTAGATAAGCCCATAAACCAATAACTAAATTAACTCTCTCTATCTCTGTCTGTCTGTCTGTATGTCTGTCTGTCTGTCTGTCTGTCTGTCTGTCTCTCTCTCTCTCTCTCTCTCTCTCTCTCTCTCTCTCTCTCTCTCTCTCTCTCTCTCTCTCTCTCCTCTCTCTCTCTCTCTCTCTCTCTATATATATATATATATATATATATATATATAATATGTCGTGCCGAATATGTAAAACTGGTCAATTAGCAAGAACTCATTTAAAATTAAGTCCTTTCTAAAATTTTCTCTTATACCTTTAAAGATATATTTTTTCATTAATGTTAATGTAAAAAATTTTAATTTTGCACCAAAAGAATCTTAGAAAACTTACCTAACCTTATTATAACAAGAGCAATTTATTTTAGCCTAGCCAAACTAAATATATTTTAGATTTGTTTACAATAATTTAATACTAAACAAACACAGTGAAATATATTTTTTTCGTTAGGTTCAGAATAATTTTGGCGACATTATTGCATACACAAATTTTCACTTGTCCTATATGGCAAGATGAGCGTTGCTATTTAAGCCAAGATCGCAAGTTCTGCCTATTCGGCACGACATACATATATATATATATATATATAAATATATATATATATATATATATATATATATATATATATATATATATATATATATATATATATATATATATATATATATATATATATAATATATATATATGCAATATAGATCACAGTAAAACAAACAGGTGATTTCAGAATATGCAAAACAACCACTCTGAAAGAATAGAGAAATTCCAAGCGCTTTCGTGACTACTCACAGTTCCTTGATAATGTGAGTAGTCACGAAAGCGCTTGGAATTTCTCTATTCTTTCAGAGTGGTTGTTTTGCATATATATATATATATAATATATATATATATATATATATATATATATATATATATATATATATATATATATATATATATATATATATATATATGAAATTAATATACGACTATATCTGCAACGACGCAGTAAGCTATCATTATAACTGTAGTTAGAGGTATTAGGAGGGATCACAATAACTGCAGCAAGAGGTAATACAAGAGTCCATAATAACTGCAGGGAAAGGTAGAAGTTGAAATTTTTATAATAGCAACCAGAGACATAGGAGACGATTATAACTACATCCAAATGTAGTAGGAGAGACCATTGTAACCGCAGCCAGAGGCATCAGGAGAGATCGCTATAACTTCGGCTTTAGGATGTAGGATAAATCATTATAATTGTAACTAGACTTATTTGTAGAGGCCATTTTAACTGCAACCAGAGGAATTAGGAAAGGCCATTATAAAGACAACCAGAGGTAGTAGGAGATACCATTATAACTGTTGCCTGAGGTTGGTGGAGAGTCCGTTATAACTGCTGCAAGAGGTAGTAAGACAGACCACTATAACTCCAGGCAGAGGTAGTAGGGAGTACTTTTATAACTGCAGCAACAGGCAGTAAGACAGACCACTATAACTCCAGGCAGAGGTAGTAGGGAGTACTTTTATAACTGCAGCAACAGGCAGTAAGACAGACCACTATAACTCCAGGCAGAGGTAGTAGGGAGTACTTTTATAACTGCAGCAACAGGCAGTAAGACAGACCACTAATAAACTCCAGGCAGAGGTAGTAGGGAGTACTTTTATAACTGCAGCAACAGGCAGTAAGACAGACCACTATAACTCCAGGCAGAGGTAGTAGGGAGTACTTTTATAACTGCAGCAACAGGCAGTAAGACAGACCACTATAACTCCAGGCAGAGGTAGTAGGGAGTACTTTTATAACTGCAGCAACAGGCAGTAAGACAGACCACTATAACTCCAGGCAGAGGTAGTAGGGAGTACTTTTATAACTGCAGCAACAGGCAGTAAGACAGACCACTATAACTCCAGGCAGAGGTAGTAGGGAGTACTTTTATAACTGCAGCAACAGGCAGTAAGACAGACCACTATAACTCCAGGCAGAGGTAGTAGGAGTACTTTTATAACTGCAGCAACAGGCAGTAAGACAGACCACTATAACTCCAGGCAGAGGTAGTAGGGAGTACTTTTATAACTGCAGCAACAGGCAGTAAGACAGACCACTATAACTCCAGGCAGAGGTAGTAGGGAGTACTTTTATAACTGCAGCAACAGGCAGTACGACAGACCACTATAACTCCAGGCAGAGGTAGTAGGGAGTACTTTTATAACTGCAGCAACAGGCAATAAGACAGACCACTATAACTCCAGGCAGAGGTAGTAGGGAGTACTTTTATAACTGCAGCAACAGGCAGTAAGACAGACCACTATAACTCCAGGCAGAGGTAGTAGGGAGTACTTTTATAACTGCAGCAACAGGCAGTAAGACAGACCACTATAACTCCAGGCAGAGGTAGTAGGGAGTACTTTATAACTGCAGCAACAGGCAGTAAGACAGACCACTATAACTCCAGGCAGAGGTAGTAGGGAGTACTTTTATAACTGCAGCAACAGGCAGTAAGACAGACCACTATAACTCCAGGCAGAGGTAGTAGGGAGTACTTTTATAACTGCAGCAACAGGCAGTAAGACAGACCACTATAACTCCAGGCAGAGGTAGTAGGGAGTACTTTTATAACTGCAGTAACAGGCAGTAAGACAGACCACTATAACTCCAGGCACAGATAATAGGAAGTACTATTATAACTGCAGCCAGACTTTAATTACAGGCAAATGTTAACTGAAGCTGAGAACTACAGACTTACGATTATTTTCACTGTTTTCATTTGGAATCGATTAATCCATAGGGCGTCACACAGCGCCTGAAGAATGGAAGATAATCAGATTGTATCTACCGAAGGGGATGGTAGCTCCAATTCCATGGATCATAAATCTTTTACTTGCATCATGACACCGCTCCCGAAGATTAAATGCCGCTTATTATCAAAATAAGATAGTTTTAATACACCTTCATTACTCCTCCAAATACTGAGTCAACTCAGAACAAGTGTTCTCTTAAGACGAAAAAAGTAGCAGTCTTTATAGCTACCTCGAACTGTTGTAAAAAGTAAAGTTATGAGAGTGAATCAGGTAGAATTTAGGTCTGTGTCTCTGAATAGTATGTAGCAATAAGCGCCTTGAATCTGCACTTGTAAGCCAAGTAACAGTAGTCGTGTAATGGCTGATTATAATTCCTTTTCCTAGGCTATAATAACATGAAAATCATAGGAATTATTTTCAATTAACTGAGAAAAAGGTTTGTAGATTTTGGCAACATTTTTTATTATTGTTTTTCGAAATAGTGAGCTGGGGTGAGTCTCCGACAGGTGTGAGTTATATCCCCCAGGTGCAGAAAGCAATAATAATACATACACTTGCTAATACAAGTTAGCATCTTGGCTCTGGCTTTCTATACGGCGGCAATTTTTTCTTCGTAATATGAGTTTCTCGGGTTGCAACATCGAACTATGGTGTTCGAAATGTCTCTTGTAATTTTTTTTTTCTCTATCCTAGAACACAAAAGTTCACTAAAATGGATTTACTTATTTTCTTATTGCGAAGCTAATACAAAATTTTAATATGATCTCAGTATTATATTACACATATTTTTTTTTTCATTTCAGGTGTATGATGATATTTGGAAAAAAATGTTACAATAATCAAGGGACAAAATCTGATATATCTATCTATCTTCTGAAAAATTAATGAACCTCCAAGCGCTTTGAATATTGGTGGTAGCTTACTCTGCTGGATAATAGGATACCTGTCAAATAGAGTATCCTCTGTCCTTTACCAAGGCTTCAGAAGTGATTCTAAAGAAATGTCTTTAGGTACACCGCAGGGAGGAGTTCTTAGTCCCATGCTATTTAATATTCTGATTAATGCTCTCCTAAATGCTCTACCTGCCTCACCTAAACATATAGCTATAAGCTATGCTGATGATATCATGATCCATACAACAGGGCATAAGAAGATGAATACCATTCTTAATAAAGTTCAAGCAATTTGTAATCGACTAGGCCTCATAATATCTTCCTCTAAAACAAAGATATTAACAAGCAAACGACATCCCCCACCCATCTATTTGAAAGGGTGAAATCATTACCCTACGTTAAAACTTACAGATATCTTGGTGTAGATGTACCCTTTAACAAATCCACTATACCACAACTAAACAAGAAATGTAAAGCTAGGCTAAATGCTCTCAAAGCTGTTGCTGGCTACAATCCCAACTATGGTGCTAATGTGAGAATCGTGGAAATGATGTACATACCTATGTTAGGTCCTTAATTGATTATGCTGCTCCCATGTTGATATTAGCTAGAAAAAAGTTCCCTCCGACCCTTGGGAGTTAATGCAAAATGAAGCTCCCCAGGACTATTCTTGGCTGTCCCAGATCTACAAAAGTTCTTAACATGAGGAAGGAGCTTGTATTTCTAGTAAACAGTGATAGGATTGTTGAAATTAACACTGTACTCGGTATTAGAATGTTGAGAAACGAACCAGACACTGTCACAGTGAATCTTTCCAAGTGTCTAGAGGTAAATACACACAGATCTAAATGGGGTTGTGAAAACGTGCAATTTCCCTTAAGTTTTATAACCTGCATAACTGTATCACCGTAGGCAACAAGAGCATTCACCCCTCCATGGAAGATGTGTTCATTTAAATAACACATACCTACAAGTCCCTCCCAAAAGCTCATTTGCTAGTAATCCCTTCCTTAAATCTCTTGTTTTAGAGCAACTGCTCAAAAAGAAATTTTTCGCCTAGCTGTAGTAATAAGTTTACACAAGTTATATACACTGATGGATCTAAACAGGGGTCTTCTGGCAGGGCTGCATCTGCTCTTTTTGCCACCTCCTAGTTAAGAACGAAATAAATTTGTTGAGTTAGGCATAAAATTAACAACTGGGCGTCTACAACTGCAAAATAATTGTTTGCAATCCTAATGCGCTAAAGCTAACCTATGACACTGAGCTTGACTCTATCACATTACTGATTCTATGTCATCATTGAAGGCTCTTGGCTCATATAATGACTCCAACAACATGCTCATTTGGGGAACCAGGTAT